GGCGTTATTGTGTAAGTGAACTTCAGTGTTGTAATCGATTAGCATGGCGCGCGCTTTTTAGATATTCGACTTGTGCTTTGAATCCGATTGAAGATGAGGCTGTGGTGGGCAGTGTTGTGGCGGCATCTGAGGGAGCGTTGGAGTTGGGCGAATGGAAGGAGGCTCCGAAGGGTCTTAAATATGAGAAGGGCGTTTCGTCATGGAAGGTTAAAAGTGGCGGTCGATGGTAAGAGGCTACATGTATGGGGACGGTGTCGCTCGATTCGTCGGGGAGGAGGTTGCCGGTTTGGTGTTAGCCTTGGAAAGCAGTAAATCTGGAATAAACTGTTAAATCGGTGATAAACTGTTAAGTTGGTGATCAACTGTTAAATTGGTGATAAACTGTCAAATTAATGATAAACTGTTAAATTTGAAATAAACTGTTAAATTGGTGATAAACTGTTAAATTGGTGATCAACTGTTAAATTTGGAATAAGCTGTTAAATTTGGAATAAACTGTTGAATTTGGACGAAAGAGTCTAAGATTCTGGAATTGGTGTTGATCATAGTAAACCGGAGTAAAAAACTGAGCGATGTTGTGGTCTCGTTGCACTGAGTAGTTTGGCCTTATAGGCGACTTCCTACTAGCTATTATTATTGCTCTGGGTTCTTCTTACCCTCCCGTTATACTTCTTCGGGCGCGCGCGATTCACATTCATCATCGATCGGTCACATTTACCATCGTTCTTCTGGCTGGTTACTCGTGTGGAAAGGGATCAAGTCGCGTTACTGAGCCATAACGGCAGATTGAGAGGATTCATTGAAAGGTTCTCGAATTTTGAGGATGCTGAGAGAGAACTGGGAGAGGGCAAAAACGCCCGTCTGGTGAAGTCGTCGATGTTCCCACAAGCATCGGAAGGAGTCGACTTGAGTAAATGCGTCCGGGTGTATCCCCATCTACAGGTAGAGATGAGGAGGGTGAAGAGTGTGCGGTTTTTATTCCGGGATTAATGATAGTGAACAACTTGTCGCTCTCATAGTCTTGAAAGGTTACTTTTATTACATCACATGTTCATTCATGTGATGTAGTTTCAGATCGATTCTTATTAGTCTTGAAAAATGATGCTGATGCGCATATCAAATTGACACGCACTTTATTATGAATTATTTGGTTAGTTATACGATACCGTAAAACTGCGAATTCATATGTGGTGACACGGGAGGGGTGACACGTTGTCTTCAGAATACTGGCGGCTTCTTCATCGCAGTGATTCGAAAAAAAGCGAGAGTACCGTGGGAGACTACTGGGGAGGGCGATATGCCTGAGGTTGGGGAGGAGAAAGATACGGATGAGGTCGACAGGGAGAAAGATACGGCCAAGGCTAAAGAGGAGGAGGATACAGTGAGTGAGAGATCTCAGGATGCCAGTAGCAGCCAGGCTCCCATGGAGATGCAGAGTGACTTTTATGAATGCCCTAACGATTTTACAGAGCTTATCAAAGATCAATTTGGCATCCCTAGTGGGGAGGTTGATGGTTTGTTGTGGTCGAAGAGTCCTGAGCCAAAACCGAGGAAGTTATGGTTGATGAGTCGATCGGTTGATCGATTATTACGTAGTTCTTCTCGGCGTGGTTTGAAGGTAGTGTCGGCGGGCACGCCGGCATTCGATCGGCCCTCGGGAGCACACAGTGAACCAAGAGTATTGGTTACTGCGTTGCAGTGGTTGACCATGACGAAGAGAGTCTATGAGGTTACCCCTGCCGACTTCGCGAAGTTACTTATAATAAAGGTGCCGGCGGAAGCGGTTGGGCTCGGGCAGGTTAAGGAGAGTGCGATCGTGGTGCGGTGTGCTGTTGGAGAAGTGAGTTTGAGGATGCCGGTTTATAGGCGAAGGCATTTGGCGGAGGGATTGGTGTCGGAAGATATACGTCCGGGCTTGGCGTGGTGTGTTTCTAAAGAGCTCGATGAAGGTGAGGGGGTTCGTGATTGGAAGTGGCGGAAATGTGGTATTAATTTCAGATATTGAATTTCCTGGTGTGACTCTCTCGGCACATAGTAAAGTGAAGAAAGCTCAGTTGCCTCCAGCGCATGATGAAGGAAAGAAGGACGAGGATGCTCCTCGCGAGGGCCAGCAGTCTATACAGGCAGAGGAGAGCATATTGAATGACCCGTTACTTGCTGGCGTACTCACTGCTAGCGCAGTAGTTGCTGCTGCAGCAGTTGTAGTTTCACTGTATAGATCAATACGAAAGGATTGAAGCAATGTTTCTATCTCCGACGTCAGGAGCTTGTCATGAGTTCGTTAGGGATGGGTGGCGGGTTGTCGAAAGTTCGGGAGACACCGGGTTCGATCGGTGGGTTCGGTATCTGTGAAATATGGATCATCAGGTTGGAGCTTCAACGGTGTGTTTGAGCGGTTGTCATTCAATGGCTTCAGTCACTTGTTTCTTGTAACCGTTCTCCTGCTGAACCTGTCTGATATTCCTCGCTCTCATGGTCTTGTCCGATCAGCATAGGGATGCCAATGCGCCGAATCGCTAAAGTGGCTGATAGTTGCATTGAACTGCGCTGGATTCGTTGGAGCTGAGTTGAGCTGGCGAAAAAGCCTTGGCTGGGGTTCAACGATGGATTCTTCATCATACCTGTCTGCCAATCTGAGCCTGATATTTCTAGAAAATTGACGATTCCTAGAAAATAGACGATTTCGAATAATGAATACTTCAGTTGTCGTTAGAAGCGGATTCTCAATATCCTACGTTTAAGCGAAATTACCGGTTTGGGAAATTCACTCAGTTGGAGTTAATACTATTAGCCCGGTTTCTGAAACTCTACTTGAACGTTGTAACAGAGTTCAGCTGTGACGTTAAGGCACGGTTCATGAGATGCAACCAACCACTATCACGCTCGCGCAACATCCCCGTATCAGAAATGTCTGCGATCTGACTCAAGTGTTCACATCAGCTCTGCCTGTCCGATTGGAAAAAGGAGCTCGACGCTGGGTGTTGATGAGTCCTGAGAGAAGCGTGCCCTCTTATAGCATCGTCGGAATACTCAGCGATATAAGTCGCATAGATAGTTTCCAACGGGAACTTTCCATGCTGATTCTCATGATGGGATGACGCATGCTGCAGTAGCATAGTCATAGCGTCGGTAGATTTCGAATGATACCAGTGCTTCTAACATGTTTTCTTGTTCTTCGTCACAGGCGATGTCAGCAAATTTCGGATCAAAATGATCGGATCCATTTCGAATTCATCCTCGTCTGACAGCACATCGCGAATCATCACGCCATACCATAGGGAGGCTATGCTATCCGTTGTCAGAAAAGTCAACCGGCTGATGCCTATTGCGCAAATTTTTGTGGCTCGTCCTGTATGGATCCCCGGCACTCATTGATGGAACAGTTCGTTCGTTGAGGGCCTCAGAGGTTCGAGTTCGAGGAGACTCTTTACCAAAGCAGTGCTACGACAGCACAACCAAAAACCCGCTTGATGTTATGGTGAGTCTCGGTATCCTGGCAACTGATAGCA